GACAGCAGAAGCCAACTGGTAGTTTACACCATTCTTGAAACACATTGGGTTTGCTATTAAGAGTATAGAATGCTTTGTCCAATGATTTCCGTTACATTAAAAAAATAAAAAAAAAAAAAAAAAAAAAAAAAAAATTTTTGGTTGAAAGGATGAAGCTCCTAAACTCGTTTTTCCCCTAAAACTTGTGTTTCAGCATGGCTGACATAATTTGATTATATTCTGATATAAGAATTGCTGAATGTCCTCAAATTCCACTGCCACACAAAGAAAAATCAGCGAACTGCATTGTATTGGACTGTGTACAGTCCACAGATCTGAGTTCCTGTGGTTCTGTTGTTTAATTGGATCTTTTTCAAACCGTCAGTTTGGCAGCACTCAATAAACTCCKTGCTGATTTTTTTATTATCTCTAGCGAATAAATGATTGTAGGATTAGGCTGGATGGTCAATATTTGCGACCTTTGCTGTAACCTTTGTCAATGTGCAGAAAAGGGGGTGACTTTTCCCTGACTGCTTCAATCCGGGATGTCCAGAGCTATTCACCCTCCAATACCCAGGACTGATCGCTGCAGTGAGGAACAGCTCTGTGCTCTTACTGTGGTCTTGAATCCATTTATTGCAGTCTTWAAATCGCGTTTATGTACAAAATTACCGCTATATTTCTGTGACGCCAGAGGGGATGCCGTTTTTTCAGGCTGCTGGATGTCCTCCGCCGCTGACCACCGCTCCTGCWGCTCAGCAGTTTCCCGTTTCCCGGCACTTTTTTTTTTCCTCCAAACGCCGTTCCCATTTTTTCAGCGCCACCAAGCGGATGGTTCCTCCGTTAGCATTTGAATTTCCCCGGTTATCATTTACAAACACAGAACTATCCATTAGCTGAGAACGGTGTTAAAAATAACCCAGCCCAGCAAACCTCGGCGTTGGTAGGACGCAGGTATGGGAGGAAATAAAAGGTCTTTACTAAAAACACTAATAATGTGTTTATGGTYCTTTCAGACCTGTGGAGACCCGGCTCTGGCTCCTCAGGAACACGATGCGGTCAGTGAGATGTGGACACAGATCTTGTGGGCTCCTCAGTTCAGGAGAGACATGGAGCTTTGGAGGGAGTGCAGGGGAGAACGATGGGGGCTTGGAGCATCTTTCTTGCCTAGAAAAGCTGAGGGAGCTAGGGCTGTTCAGCCGCCAGAGGAGACACTGAGAGAGCCCCTCATSTGCAGCGAGGGCCTCAGAGATGGACCAGGCTCTGCTCCATGGGGCCAGCAATGACACAAGAGAATTGGGCAGGAACTGATGCCAAAAAGCTCCACCTGAACATGAGGAAGAACTTCCCTGCAGAGTGACTCAGCACTGATCGCCCAGAGACGGTGCCGAGTCTCCCTCACTGGAGTTATTCCAGAGCCGTCTGGACAATCCTGTGCWATTGTGCTTTGGGACTTCTCTGCTTCAGCGGGAAGATTGGACCAAATGAGCCCCTGAGGCCTCTTCCAGCCTTGTCCATCTTGGGATTCTGTGGGTGGTGGGAGTGCTCGTGTCTCTGAATCCCTGTGGGAGTGAGGATTCTGCCCCTGTGGGAGTGAGGATTCTGCAAGCCTAGATCGCTGGCGGGTGACGGCCAGGTCCGCCTGACCCCGGGTACAGGTGATCCCCGGCACAGGCGACCCCTGACACACATGATTCCCGGGTACACATGATCCCCGGGTACACACGATTCCCGAGTACAGGTGATCCCCAGGTACAGCCCCACCACCATGTTAACGCCCCCGCGCCGCGCGGGACACTGAGGAGAAGCCTCMCCCCCGCGCGCTTAGCGGCTTCACCCCCCCTCACACCGCCAGCCAATGAGCGGCAGGTATGGGCGGGGAAACTCCCCTARCAGCCAATGAAATTTAAGCGTGGCCATCTGGCGACCAATAAGCAGCCGCACTGTGGTTTGGGCGCTGCCAATCACCGGCCGCGAGTGAGGCCCATGAGGGCCGGCGGGCCGGGACTGGCCAATGAGCGTTGGCGGGTGAGATTTGAAAGCGAGGCGGGGCGGCGCGCGGAGGGGGTTGTGGGGCGCGCGGGGCCGGGGCAGGTAATGGCGGGCCCGGGGGGATTGGGGGATCCTCGGGCGGGATTTGGGGGTTCTGGTGGGGATTTGAGGGGCTGGAAGGACTTTGACGTCCCCGGAATGGGCTTCCTAAGGGGTCCTGGGGTGGGGGTCTCGCCTGGTGGTGGGCTGGCAGCGGTGAGCTTCTCTCTGAACAGGGCTGGGACAGTCTGTCTTGACCCCCGGGGCCCTTGTGAAACCGTTGAGTTTTACTCAGTCTCTAAATTTAACGGGTTTAAACATCGCTATAAACGTAGCGACGTTTGCTCTTCCTGCTCCGTTTTCTCGCCATTCAGGCTAAAAGAGCACCTAAATGTTTGCATGCTCATATTGCCCTTTGGTTCTGAGCATGTTGCTGGTCAAAAATGGCCCTTTTCYCTCACTGTTATTTATAAAACTAAATTTTCCGCGTTAATTTCTAGTAGTATATGTTGACCAGTCACAAATCTTTTGTAGAAGTCTCTGTCCCTATCTTACTAATCGTCTTTACTTGAGTTTATGCCAATTTGAAAACCAATTAATCTTCTAGGGTCCTGTTTGGGCAAGCTATTTCACGGGAACACTGACCTGTAAAGAAGAGGAGACAGGTATTTTTTCCTAAACTCATCTTTTGATATTGAGCATGCCATCCATTTTTAATGAGCCCACAGAGATCACTGATAATCTCCTGAATTGGGAATACATTTCTGGGAAGCTCTGTTTCTCTACTTTTATTACATTTGCTACCTTTATCTGTAAGATTAATTTTTCTGCAGTATCACTTCTTCATGGGACTTTTTCAGGGAGAAGTAGATTTCTACTACAGTGAATCACTAGGAAGATATTAAAAATAGGAGGTAGAAGATAAAACCCCTTTAAAAGTGTTGAAATGTTTATCACTGTTTAAGGCAAATGCAGCTGTCTGAAAGCTTCTCTTATAGATAACAATGTATTTTCTGGGAATATAGGTCGTGCTACCATCAAGGTTAARAATTCAACTGCATGTACTTTGAAAGGACTGTTGTACTTAAAGAACAAGTTTAAGGGTAAATTTAGGAATTTTGTCCTGAAAAATGATGAGTGTAGAGACCAACTGCTGCTTTGAGGAATGTTCTCATCCACTGGGCTCAAAAGCCTGCTGCTTCTAGGACATAGCAGAGATGTATTCCCACTGTTTTCTTAGTGGCTTTCTGTAATGCCATTTAATTACTAACAAGATCTGTAATTGCTAACAATTCTGTAATGATTAATTCTGTAATTACTAACAGGATCAGTTCAAATATGTTTATTGGAGATGCTCATGAATTAACCTTCCTTAATCACTTATATGAAAAGCAGGGCAAATATGACCTGTGAACTGCAGTGGATTTTTTTTTTTTCAATCGTAATTAACTGTCATTTTTAATCAAATTCTGAAGGCTGCAATGCAAGATGCAGGGGGAAACCCCAGATATTCACAAATAAGTTGGTGCTGGCATGGAGCAGCTCTTCCAGGATTGTATGGAAGAGATCCAGTCCCTGATACGAGTTTTGATTTTTATTCCCTTTTGCTCTTTAAATTCCACTGACCCTTTTGCTCTCCTGCAGCACTGAATATTTCAGAAAAAAGGGCCAAAATGCACAGTTTAGATATCTGTTCYAAGCCCTTCCAGGTGGTTGTGCAGGTGCTGTTGGTGCTGTGCAAGTTCCCCCCTACATGAACATTGCCATGGACTGGGGAACAAGGAGCTGCCACTGCCAGCACTGATGGCATCTGAACAGGCCTGGGCTCTACTCCTTCTTCCAACAGCTCAGGTTCTCTCCTTAACTGCTTTTTTCATAAGCACATGCAGTTTATTTTTTCACTATTTCTATTTTGCTGCTTTTGTTCTTCTAATATTTGGGTTTTCCGGTTGAGTTTTTTGGCTTTTGGTAGCACATGGATGGGAAGGGGAATGGACTTTAAGAAATTCTGTACCCTCTTTGTCAAGGCTTTTCAGTTCAATTCACTGATGATTCCTTTAGCTTGATCAGAGCTTTCTGTTTTGAAATGAAGAACCTCAGTAAATGATCAATTTACCAATAAATAAATGTTAAGTGTTTAGTTTAGGTCTGTCACTGTGTTTACATTAAAGCTGTTTTCTGTGAGTGGTGGAAGCTGAGCTGTCTGAAAGACCCTGGTTGAGGTAGAAAACGTTTGATAAGTTGCAGTGGGRATGCAGGGGATAAAAGGATCCCAGAATGGTTTGGGGTTGGAAGGTACCTAAAAGACCGTCCAGTTCCAACCCCTGCCATGGACAGGGACACCTTCTGCTCTCCCAGGTTGCTCCAAGCCCCATCCAGCCTGGCCTGGAACACTTCAAGGGATGAGACAGCCACACCTTCTCTGGGAAACCTGTGCCAGGGCCTCTCCACCCTCACAGGGAAGAATTTYTTTGCAATATCCCATCTAACCTTGCTCTCTGTCAGTAGGAAGCCATTCAGCCTTGTCCTGACACTCCAGGCTCTTGTCCCAAGTCCCTCTCCAGCTCTCCTGGAGCCCCTTTAGGTACTGTTAAGTACCTAACTGACATTTGGCTTAAGGCTTTTTCAGGTTAAAAAAGATGGGGAAAATGCTGCTTGAAATAACCACTATTGTATTGCAGTTGCATCCTGGAAACATCCTGGTTCTGAGTACTCTGATGCATGACAAAATTCCTTGCTATCAGATAGGTCTAATCTAAATGGRATGTTGTTTCCAAGTATTGTCCTACAGCCTTTTCATTTACTTGCTCATCTCCTTAATGTGGAAAACAGCTGTGGAGAAARCAGCCCAGCCAATCTCAGCYATGGGTGAAATGTCCCCTCCTAGTTCTGTGTCAGATTTGTTGACCACTCAACAACCAAACTGATCCCTGGAATAAATAAAAATAATGAGAAATTGCTGGAAGAGTCACTACTGAAATTGTCATTTGATTTTTCTCTGGTCACATACWGAAACAAAGAATTCAGGCTTKGCTYAGAACATTGCAAATTGTAACAAAAATGGAAAATAAACCATGGCAGTGTTTTCCTAATCATTATGTTTGTTGTGTAAGGTCATCAGGATGGCTGCTACCTCCCAGTTTGCCAGTAGATACAAAAAGGATTTGAGTACAGAAGCCCTCAGAACCAAAGTTGCACGCAGGAAATCCATCCTTCAGAAGGAGAACAGGCACAAGCTCTTTGAAAAGGGCCGGCAGTTCGGGCTGGCAGATGTCAATGTTCAACTCTCCAAGGAGAGGGGAATTTCTGAGCTCAAGGAAACCAGGGAATTGTGCTCTCAAGAGAATAGCAATGTRAAGCAGAGTAAGTAAATACTTACTGTAGACCTTTTTTAATGTTAAAAATTTTAAGTATATTTAGTAGCAATCACAAAAACCTAATAGCAGTCAACATTTTAATTTGATGAGAAAGTTTAACATTTGAAATCCTACCAACCTTTCCAACTGTTAAAATCAAGAAAATAAAAGCTTAATACAGCTGTACCCTCACTGCTCCAGGGGTAAGAATGAAGCTTTGCTCTGATTTAGCTGCAGCAGCTAAAGGAAGAATGCACTTTGTTATTAATATTCAATGGCAAGTGCCTTAATGATTGTTTTGTCCTTTAAAATGTGAAAAACCTCCAATCAAAAATAACATATAACTGATGTCTGTCACGAGCTTACAGTGTGCTTAACAATGAGCAATTTTATATTATAATTATGTACAAAATCATTAATGGGTAAATGCATAGTATCATTTTATTTTGAAGATAGCTATATTTAATGACTTATCTTTCCTCTCAGAAAATAGGGCCTACATGTGTGCTGAATTCTGTATCCTGGCAGATASTTATGGTCTTGAGAAACTAGGTTACTATTTTAAAATGTTAACAGCTTTCTTCAGAAATATTTTTACCTTCARTATTTTGATAGCAGAAGATTTTTGGAGGATAATATTTYATTGGAATAGTATTAGAATGCAGTYCATATGTAATAATATMAAATATRAAATTTAATAAATTTGTCTTGATTAATGAATTTGAACTTAAAGTGAATATTAATTTTTCAGGAAGATGTACAATTCAAGTTTGGCATCATCTTAAGGTTCTGTGAAAGAATAAATCTTCTTTCTTATTTATCCTCAGCCTGAGGCAGACTTTGGTATCTAAAACTGACCTAGAGTTCAGCTTTCAATGACATTAAATGTTTGAATAGGGAAAATGGTAAAAATAAACTAAATAAGTAACTGAAGTGTTAATTTTCATACTAGCAACCTTGCAAGAACAGCCTGTAAAATGGAAATGACTTTACAGTAATCCTCAGGTGGATATTTGGAGAGGTGTATTTGTAAACTAAAATTTACCACTGAATTCCCTTTTAGTGGGAAGGGTTAAAGCAAGAGATTCCAGACAGTTGTGTTCCTTGACACGTTCCTCTTCTAGTCTGGAAAAGTTTATTGGAAATTTCTGACTTCTTGTTGGCTCAAAAACATCTTCCTGATTTTATAACATGTCTGTCTTGCATGTCTGCCTCAGAACAAGCCACAAATGCAGCCACCAAGAGGATGAACGAGCGCAAGGAGATGCTCCAGCGCTACAAAGAGGAAAAGGAGCTTCGCAAACTGCTGGAGCAGAGAGAGAAAGCCAAGAAAGGGGTGTTCAAAGTTGGRCTGTACAGACCAGCTGCACCTGGATTTCTTGCACCTGAGGAACCAGCAGYAGCAAAACCAAGAGAGAAGGTAATAAGGGTAACATTTAGTATCTAAATTATAATCTGTGTACTTCATTAAAATTTCTATTTGTATACATTTGTATGTTATTCCAAACGAACTGTTTATTTTGCAAATGCTTTATTAATATTTGTTGTAATAAGGAATGATAAGGGAGTGGTTTGGCTCAAACAAAGCTGGAAATAGTACTAGTGATATGTAGATTTTTTTGTATTTATGACTATGTTCAGTTCAAAACCTGGAACGATTCACCCACAAATGGAACAGCTAAATTATTTTAGAACCAGCAACTTGTTCATATTTAGTCAACTCAGCTTTGAAAGYTTTCCAGATTACACACTTAACCCATTTTGCACAGACATTTTGTTTTTCATATTTATGCTTCTTGCTCAGTCTCTCAGTGATGAGGGGGAAAAGGAGTATATTATTAATTCTTGTTTCCTTGGGGATGTTTCCAGGCAGCTCCTGCTTTCTCTGGAAGGATTACTCGATCAAAAGCCAAGATCCAAGAAGGAAAAACTTTGATACCAATTCTGATACCAACTGCATCTAAGTCCTCTACGGTTTGTGTTACATATGTATAYAAACTTCAGTGAATAAATTTAGAGAAAAGGATGCAGTTTCAGACTCAGGGTAGTGTCTTTACAAGTTTGATTAGATCAATACAAGCAGAAAAGAGCACAGGTTTTCTGGATCTGTTTTTCAATGTACTTCACTGTTTCTGAAGTATTTTTCTTCATTATTTGCTGACAATTTCTTAGTTGGATAATGCACGTTAACATATCCCTACACAAATCAATTTAAGTTATCCTTAATGTGTATCTACTTTTGTAAAGCCTTCTGTGCCAAATTATTTGAGTTTCTGCTTTACTGTAGGATACAGTAAGGTAGAAAGATGAGGAAAGACATTGAGCTGCTGAATTTCTAGGAATCTAATATTTCACAAAAAACCTGGTTTTTTTTCTTGTAGGTCAGTGCCCACGGGCACAGCACACGCCCTACACAGGCAGGACACAAACAGATGAGTACAGTCAAAGTGGCTGAAAAAGAGAAAGGTATGGAAKTACATCTGAACCTGAAAGGATGCTGCTGGTTTGGGTTTCTTTTGGGGGGCAGAGATCTACAGTACATTTTTGGGTGTAGGAAACAAGGGGGAGATTTTAACATGGCAGTTCCTATCAGCTKTGACTCGGGCAGCAGCTGGCAGATTAACAAGTGCATGGCTCTAGGGATCACAGGAGCTTGTTGCCTCCTTAGGTTGGGGGAAATRGAATGCAGGATACTGACAGTCCTGGTTACTGATTATTCCCCTAGGAGAGGGAAAAGAAGCAGGTCAGTAGGCAGAATTGCACAACTGCCTCTGCCCCTGGGGCTGTGCAGAGGTTTCTGTTTGCCTCCAAGAAGGATATCACAGGCAGTGACTGCTGCTCTTACAGAAGAGCAAGTGCCTTCTGTGTCTGTCACTTTCTGTGCCACAGTTACAGATATTTCCTAAGAAAACAGSAAATAACAAAACAACCTGTGTCACCTTTAAAGGACTGCAATACCTTGGTCAGAAACCTTTATAGCCCAGTGATTCATGCCTTCAGGAGATACAGCCAAGTCATGTGGAATATTGATGTTAATGCAAGATATTCACTAATTTAGAGTGAAATGACTTTCACATCATTAATCTAATTAAATCASCAAGCAGCAGATCTTTATTTAAATRAAYTTCAGTATTGCTTTTGGTGRATACTGAAAATATCTATTATCAGTGTTTGATATAACAATTAAAATGTTTAATTTTTGAAAAATTTTCATGCACTAGATTTGATCATTCCTTTTGTACTGAGTCAAGGATATGCATTATATGTACTTGAACTTTYCTGTCCACRAYRGGGAGGTTGKAATGAGAYGATCCTTAAGRTCTTTTCCAACCCAAACCATTCTAYGATTCTATGAAACACCAATATTAAYGTTTGGCAAGTGAATATTTGATAAATCCAATGTCATAGTTATTTATCCAGTAATTTTTTCCCAACTTTTCATTCGACTTCTACGGAATCATAGCTTAACATTAAAGACAGGAATAACATTCACAGTAATCAAGTGGGCTACAGGATTTCAGATGGGCAGAATATGGAATAAAGAGATCCTGTGACATTTGTCTGTGCAGGAAAAGGCTGTCATTTCAAAAGCCTATTAGAAACAGTGCTAAAATACAAAGATGAAAATGATTAAGATGGGTAATATGGTGCATGAACTTGTCATGTTTATAAAACATTTCAGAGGCAATTAGTTTTAAGAGTACTTTGTTGGATTGCATTAAATTCTGACCTTGGAAATCTTTCATATAATGGCCAGGGCATCACTTTGTTACACCAATGGTTTGCTTAACTTCCAGCTGTGCAAATAACTGTGGCAAAGTTATTACTCTAGAAAATTTCATCTGTAAAACGGGGAGGGCGTTGGCTCTGATTTCAGGGAACAATGGGAAGCCTTCCTTATGCTTTGTGCATGGCATCAAGCACTCTGGTACCTTGATGGACCTGTACAGTAAAACCACTGCAGTCAGGATCACTCCGTGCATTGCCTGGATGGTGAGGTCAAACTATTCTGACCAAAMCACCCAACCCTGTTCATTCTGGCAAACCCATGCAGCTGATAACTGCTGGTGCATTTTTCTGATTTCTACAAAATGTAAACTCARTTATTACTTGTGTGTAGCTCCTTATTAAACTTGGAATCTCTGGAATTAATCTCTCTTGCAGTGTTGCAGGCTGCTGCCCAACCAGCCCCAAATGTGAGAGTCACCAGAGCAGCTGCCTCTGCAGCCAGGCAGGTGCTGAAACCAACAGCTGCTACTGCTGGTAAGTGAGGCTGAGAGTTGTAGCTCAATTGTACCTTAGACTGCATTTAAGTTGTGCCAAATTATCATCTGAGAAGAGGATTAAGTGCTGTATCACTCAGACTTTTGTCTGGAACTCTATTGCAATATCTACATCAATGTGTTGAAACCAGCACTGGACCATTTCCCACAAAATCCCATCAGTGTGGAGTATCAATATCCACATGGCAGTTACAAACTCAAAGAACAAAGCCAGAACTGGTAAAGATTTGCCACWTTGGTGTGTTTATGGCCATGTAATTATTAAATGTGTGAGYRGGARCAGAAACATCTCTGTAAGAGATGAGAGCCTTTGTTCTTCAGGTTAGGAATTTCTCTTTGTCCATGTTTGCCTGTTTACTAGAATTCAATTCACCAACAGAATTCCTATGCCATGTAGAAATTAAAAATCTAAACTCCAATTGGCTTGATGCTCTCTCCAACCTTTGAGGAAATAAGGTGACTTTTATTGTGTTAGTATATGRCAACATCTAAAGATTTATAACTTAATGAATCTGTTTTCTTAGTGATACATCTGTTACTGGGCTGTTAAATCCTCAGCCAGCTTTTCTTTTGAATGAAATTTTGCAATGCTGTCTTCCCTCTAGCCACCTCCCACTCAAGCAATAAAACAGTCTCTTGCTGTCTTTAGCACCTGGATTTTTATGGCAGTGCTTTGGTGAAAGATTACCTTAATCAGATGCCTTTCTGACCTCTGGGAGTGTCTCTTGTTCTAGGTAACCAGTCACAGAGAAAGACAGCAAACGTAGGAAAGCAGAAGAAAGCTGTCAAACCTGATACYACAAAGGTAGGTCATTTAATAATTGAAATGGAAAAGCAGTAAAACTGATTTAAGAGCCAGTAACTGTGTCATTGTGGCTGAGGTGTTCAAGGATAGAAGTAGTAATTTTACAAATAAGCTGGATTTTGGGAAGGAGCTGTATGAATTTATGCTGCTGTATTTTTAAGATCAAATTTAGTTCTCATATAAAATCACAGAATTCCATAAGATGGAAGAGACCCACAGCAGCCATCAAAGTTCAACTCCTGGCTCTGCACAGGACACCCTAGAAACCCACCATGGGTATGGATGTGATTGATGGATGCTTTGATTACTAATCAAGATCTGGACAATGATTTTAAATAGACAAGAAGTTCTCACATGATGTACCTTTGATGTTTTAATAGTGAGAAAGAAAGACTGCTTTCCTGCTTTAATCAAGCATATAAACTTTGTGCAGTTCATTCCTTTTTGAAGGGTATTTCTGAATGGATCCTTTTCCTGCTCAGGTGATGATATGAGATCTAGAAGCTGAGAAATTATCACAAATTTAAGTTTTGAACCACCAAAAAATAAAGCTGGAAATGCTATTATTAGCAAGGTAGAATGCTATTCTCTGCATGATTTGCAACTGAAGGCAGTCATTGTGGTTCTTGGTGTTACTTCCAGAATTTGTGTATTTATTGAGACAGTTCTGTGCAAGAGCTATCCATGATTTTTTTTCCCTCTTTGCACTCCACTCTTCCCTCTCACACCTCCCATCTCCACCCYTGTTTCTGTTGGTGCAGCTGTGCTCCAGTGTGTYCAAGATTGTGCAATCACACATGAACAGGAGGTGAGAGCACTTGTGTCTTGGACAAGCACCTCTTCACAGCCATGAGTCCCTGCCAGCTGGTAAAACTTTGCTGTAACCACAGTCAGCTCACTAGAACAAGCTGGTTAAAAGCAAGAGTCAAAGTTTACATTCCTAACAGGGGTAACTAAAGTATAACAAGACTTTCAGTGGATTGAAGATGCATATTTTCTTAAAAAACACCCAAAGTTTTTCTGGCTGGCTTGAGCTCACAATCTCTCACAATCTCGCTCTCTAAGAAATGTGTTCTGTGTGACTTACCTGGTAACCCATCTCATAAGAATGCAAATTATTGTTTAATTTTTTTCTCTKTYRATGACATTCTGTGGTGCTAAMRGCACTTGTCTTAGGCTTCATTCCTCAGCTATCAGCCTATCCCAGCTTGCTTTTCAGTCTTTGGATTGGAGTCTATGTATAAACTATGATTATTCTACAGGCCTAGTTGGATTTGGAGCCAGTAATTCTGCTCTTGAGGATTTTATCACCTTAAACCTTTATTTTCTAGCAGTGGGAGCAAGCATTTGCCAATTTTAGTAATTGTTTTGGTAGCTGACRTGTTGTGCTTTAGCCCCTGGAGTGRATYGTTGCATTCCTTGTAGTGAAGTGTTGCTTCTGTCTCTAGAATGATTTGAGGTGTCAAAATGGTTGGATTTGTTGGTAAATCACTTCTGTGCAGGTGTGCTGTTGTAGGAGGTGACTCAGCTTGAGCTGTTCCCTTCCTGATGGCTTTCAGACAGTCATGTTCTAGTTCAGCCCTTGCCTACTGCAAACACTTGATTGATTTGATGATTTGCTTTGTCTATTTATGCTGTTACAGGTAGTTCCTTCSAAACATGAAGTGGAGACAAGTGCTGGAGCGGATCCAGGGGTCAAAAGTTCTGCAGCTGATTCCAAACACTCAATGCCAGTAGAACTTCAGCAAGAACAAAGCTCAGTGGAAAACAACAATCCTTCACCAAGGAGACCCAGAACACGCTCCTTTGCACCTCAAAACTTTGTGTTTCAGCCTCTGAGTGGATTRGCAACCTACAAAGTTACACCCATGTCTCCTTCAAGAGCAAATATTTTTTTGACACCCAGTGCTGTCTGGAATTTTTCAAAATCTCCAGTGTAAGATTCTTCCTTCTAATGGGRTCTAAAATGCAAATGAACCTCTCTGTGGGCATTGAGGAAACATTTGTCTGTAGAGAGATTGACTGTGTGACAAACTCTTGTGATGTTTTAACACCTGATCATGGTTTCTATCACAGCTTGAATGTGGACTTAATACAACAGCAGATAAGGAAATAATCCATAATTCTGTCATAATGCTTTAGAAGCAGCTCTCGGGGACTCTGCCCTATATCCCTCTGCACAGCTTTATTAATTTTTTGGGTTCTCTAGTGTTGTGTGGAGGTTTGCCTTCTGAGCTGTGCATTTCTGTGTAGTTGGCCATAGTTGATATCACTGTCTCAATGTGTCTTGACTCTAAATGTACTTTTCTTTGTTTCCAGCAAAATAYTTGAAAAAGGCAGTGAAAAAAAAGCACAAAAGCCTAATTTAAAAAGTCAAACTTCACTCGCTGTTAAARGCATTCAAGAACAGCAAATGACCACAAGTTTGAAAGCAGAAGAAGGTAGGAAGTTCACATTTAATTTATTGTTCTAATGCTTTTAATTATCACCAGATTCTGAACAAATTCCTTTCATATTTTTCAGCAGATGAATCAGATGAGAGAACTTCCATGCARAGATCAAATGAAGTAGCTCCTGTCTCAACAGCAGTTGAAGTGAAGTCAGATGACACAAGAGAGCAAGAGCATGATGTGCCCTATTTCAGGTTTGAGTTCACTTGTTTCACTTTYCTGGTGTCCATTTGAAGGTTCTTAGTATGAATAACGAGACATTTTCCAAAGATCAGCTTAATTTAGTGGTGATTGGTGTCTGTCAGCTGTGACCTGAGCAGGCACACATTCCTGTCTTTCTTCTTGTATCTTTAGTGYGAGGAAAGAATATAAAATTCTGGAGGCTAAAACCTTGGCCTAAGGAGCATTAACTTGAAAGGAGTAGAAAAGAAATTACACCTCAGCCARTCAGCAAAATAAAACAATCTAATGGCCTCTGCTGCAAGACTGTGGCTTCTCTGAAAGCAAAAGGGCAGTAACCAATAACAGTCACAAGTCAGGAAATTCTCCAAGTCTTTATTTTTCCTCTATCCCTGTACTTTCAGAAACATTCTTCGGACTGAGACAGAGAGGCTGCTGTCTCAGTGCCTCCAGTGGGAAGGAAACCTTGAGCTGGACATTCCAGAGGATGGTAAGAGTGATCTGCAATAGGCACTGGAAGGGATATTATGGGAACTGAATGGGACAGAGGGAAGGAAATGTATCTGCTGTTTGCAAAATAGCAAAAAATATTTGCAAAGCTGCACTAGAGAAAGTTTAGAGTTGTACCTGCCTCAGGCAAAAAGTCTCTTATTACTAAAATTTGTGTAGCACTTGCAATGATGGTGATGGATCAAGTGAACAAAACACACATCAAAATAGTTGTTCTGTTGGCTGTTTAAAGTGTATTTGAATTTATGAACTTTAACCAAGCTGATTTTTTAAAATAAGATTAGCTTTTAATGTGGAATTAGTGCCCTTATCTAGGAAAATACAGATGACTCCATTAATACTTACCTTTAAGACTTAAGAGAGTAAGTTTTTTGTAAGAAGCAAGTTGAGAGCACTTCAATGGACAGGGAACCTTCATCTGAATTGTATCACAGGTCTGCAAAAGATGAACAACAAATTCCAGACTTTCCAAACACTTAGTTATCCAGGATGTCCTATTTTTTTTTCTTTTTGCTCTCAGCTAAAGATCTGATTCGCACCACAATTGGTCAGACAAGGCTGCTCATAGGGGAAAGGTTCAAACAGTTTGAAGGCCTGGTTGATAATTGTGAGTTTAAACGAGGTGAAAAAGAAACAACGTGTACAGACCTGGATGGATTTTGGGATATGGTTAATTTTCAGGTATGTGCTTGCAGGTTAACTTATTACAATAAAACTGATTGAGTTCCCTACAAACCATAGATTGAAACTTTTTTTTTTTTTACTATTCAGGTGCTGTTTTTTATATTTAATGTAAAAATTGTGGGTCCTTGTTTAACATTTTGTGACAGTGAATAGTTGGAGTTTTAATACTATGACTTTTAWTTCATGGACCAGTTCTGTGGTGTCTTCTTGTGGCCTCTGTATCTCATCTGTCTTTGGAATKAATGTGTCTGGCCAAATCTTATTCTGTTTTGGAGTGAGGAGACAGTCACAGTGCCTACCTCCCAGTTTTTGGAAAATTCCTGCAACTCACCTGAAAAGTAGGGGTTCCATGCTTCAGTAGGTGAATAATACAGAATCTACAGTACCTATTTAGGGGTGAGCTTAGGTGGTAGAAAACCTTCATCTGTTTTCCTCTGTTGATGCTTTCTATGGTTTCAGAGTGAAATGTCATATTCTAAATTATCAAAAGGGCTCTCAACAGTGTAAATCAGCACTCAACAAAGGAATTTGTAAGTAGTTAAATTAAATGTAAAGATGGGTTTGTTATGGTCTTAGTCATAGGTTTTGAATTCCCTGCAGAGAGCATAAGGGTTTGATCTGCTTCTTCAGAGATATTTGAGAGGTTGCTTTTTGCAGAATGGAAGACTGTGCTTCTTTGGGTAAAGGTTATTTTGCAAATGTGTTCTTTTGCTTTCCTTAAATGTGACCAATAGATTGAAGATGTGAATAAAAAATTTGATAATCTGAAGAAGCTCCAAGACAATGAGTGGCAGCCACTTGATGTCCCAAGCCAAGCAGTTGTCAAGGTATGAATAATCCCTAAAGCACATCTTGTGTGGTTTCTTTGGATACATTAAATATTAAGTGAAATTTTTTTCAGGATGCACTTGTCTCCCTTACCTCTCCCTCATGCACTTGTATTATTTGATGGGTTCAGTCCTAGTTGCTATTTTTGGCTGGTAAGATTAGAACTGAGAATTAACAATGACTCTTTTGGAGTCATTGGATTCTATGCTAGTAAGACAAATCTAGTAAATTTAGGATATAAACTTACCCTTCAGATGTAAAATAATTTTTATGGGCCACTGGTGTTGATATTAGCGTAACTGAAAAGGAAACCACACAGGGAATTTGGGAATGATTTGAGCTTTGAGCAGGGAGTATTCTATTGCAATGGTGTCCCATTAAGCCAACACCATGGGTAGCTTTTTGCTGCTTCTCTAAGCACCAATGGCTCTGACACTCTCCAAAATAAGTTATTGCTTATTGCAAATAATCTATAACACAAGTTGTTTTATCTACTCTTTGCTTTGAAATGTATAATTGCTTCTGACTGAGTATCAAGTCATATTTGCATTGCCTAAACTCTGTGCAGCTCCTTGAAATGGCTTCACTAATCCTAAAAATGATATGAAGGTGGATAAGAAACTCCAGGTGTGGGAAAACAGAGAGAATGTGGTCTGTGGGAGCTCCTCATAAATGCCAGAACACTACAGGTGGTACAAAACAAAACTTCCCTTGGAAAACTGAATGCCAAGAAAGACWTCACAGRCTGCCTGGAGTCTGTCCTGTGGTTRCACTCTGTGCYTGCCACTAGGAGTCCCTGCATCCCAGTGCTTCCAAAATCTTACTGAATTTGTTAGGAAAAGAAGTTGTATTCTGTATTTTTGATCTGCAGGCTCAATTTGAAAAGAAGTCTTGATATTGTCCTCACAGACTYATTTTAACAGGTGGATGGCAGCCCAGGAGATGCTGGGGTGAGCAGAGGCCTTGGTGTATCAAATTATAGGATTGTTGAAGTTGGAAAAGTCATCAAGTCCAACCATTCCCTTCAGCACTGCCAAGGCCACCACTGATCCCTGTCCCCAAGTGCTCCATCCACACAGCTTTTAAATTCCTTCAGGGATCAGGACTCTACCACTGCCCTGGGCAGCTGTGCCAGTACAGAACAACCCTTTCAGTGAAGAAACTTTGTCCTGATATCCAATCTAAACCTCCTCTGGTGCAATTTACATCCAATTCCTCTCATCCTGCCCCTTTTTTCCTGGGAGCACTGAATTCCCCCTGGCTGCCCTCTCCTGTCAGGGAGTTGTGCAGAGCCACAAGGTCCCCCCTGAGCCTCCTTTTGCTCCTTGCTGTGTCTGTGGTACCAGCACCTGTGTAGAATTTTATGTTTAATTCCTCCTATCCAGAGTTTCCAGGTGTAACCAGGGTTTTTTACCATTCCAGAAAAAGGCTGTTTCAAGTGCAGTGCCCAAACCCAAGGTGGAAGCAGCTGCCAGAACTGCTGCCCGGAACCGCCTGGCTTCTGTGAAAGCAGCCATGAGGGATAAAATGAAGCAGGGAGGAGCTGCTGAGGGTACACATCAAGAGAGTCTGCCAGAGGCAGAAAAAGTGGTTTTTGAAGCGGGATTTTTCAGGATTGAAAGCCCTGTGAAAAACTTTTCAGGTAGGTGAAGCTTAATGATGATTTCTGTGACCTGAGARTACTGAAGACAATTTAATCCATTTCACTGGGGAGAGGAATTGTGCTGTTTATATTGGCTACAACTCCAGTACTGGACACACTATTTCAACCTAGTGACTAATTACTCCACAGTAAACTGGTGTACATGAATGTGCTGATTTGAGTGGTTATGGCAGCATGAAATCCCTGCTTAGACAGAGGTGAAATAGCTGGTTCATGTTTTTCCAGCATAAATTTAATAATGGAATTCTAATCTGAGCGTTCCCTGGTTCAGCTGACGAGCCTCTTCATCAAAGTCAATGCCAGCTCACATCCTCTAATTGTAGGACAGGAATTTAGATTTTTTTTTTTTAACTAAACCTCTTGCAGTGCTCTCTTCAAAGCTGCAGATAAAGTCTACCCATAATCTGWGTTCATGGTTAACAAGATTGTAATATAATCCAGTTTGCTATGAAAGCTGTTTAATTGTTTGGGTTTTTTAACAGGTGCTCAAAATATAACTTCCTTTTCAGCATCTTATCTTATTGACATCTACATGCRGCCAGTATTTCCAGTAATTCTGCTTCTCTTCCATTTGTAGTTTATAATTTGATTTAAAATTCCCTTTTTTTTTTTGTTCAAATCTCTCTTCTCATCACAAAACTAAATTTTTTTTGTGTGCCTCTTGTTAGTAGAGGAGAGCTCCTGAAAAGCTTTGAGCAACATTGGGTTTAAGCCAACTCCACTAGAAAATCTGTTCTAAGCATCAGTTCAGAATCTGTTTTAAATTCTATTAAAATTGCCTAATTTGAAAGATGTAAGTTAATAATTTAAATTTCTCCTTGCAAGTGTATATAAAATTTCAATATAATATTTGTATAAGATGATTCAGCAAGCAGAAAACAATTGTGTCCCTGGTTAAAATCATAATGATCAGTTCATTTCAGCTCCTGGAAACTGCTGTAGGAATGAAACATTAAACACATTTTTCAGGTTCACTTCCAAGGACACCTTACAGACCTTCCCAGCGGACTCCTGGAAAACTGGCAGCTCCAAGATCATCCAGCAGAGCTTTGCTCCTGAATGTCCCTTCTGCTCTCTGTGCCCCTGAGGATGCAACTGCAGAACAAACCCCATCAGGCCTCAAAGGCTTCCACCCAGCACAGAGTTTGAAAATGGACCAAATTCCCACTGAAAAAACTCCCCCATTGGATAAACTCCCTGATGGTGTTCTTGAACAAAGGTRGGCATGTTAAAGCAGTTTTTAATTAACCTTGTATAAATCATTTTACAGTTTGAGCAGAAAGACATTATATTAATACCCATTAAATGTTTTCAATTTGGCAGTGGTAAAGTTTGCAAAGTCCTTGGGACTTTTCTTTCCCTTAAGCAAATATTAAGAKCCTTGTCCAAATGTGATTTTGCTTCTGGGGTAGAAGTTTATTGTTTGCYCAGGAAGTTTGATGTAGCTCACCAGTGCCAAGCCAGTAAAATCGCAGAACAAATTTTAAGATTAGTTGGGCAAATCAGAAATGATTGAAGGTGATTGATAAAGATGATTGAGAAGAATAAAAATGTTTTGGTTTCTCTTCCAGCATTTCTGTGGTTGCAGAAGAAATTTGTCTTGATGCTGTCACAGCAGAGGGAAATAAGGTAAGTCATGCATGGTTCATAGATGTGCTTTAAATACTCTTATTATTACTAGCAAAGGAAAAAGGTTTTTTGATTACCCCAAACACATAGAATTCTGATCAAATCCTCACTGAAATATTCTGTATTCCTTGAGGCAGTGCCTTTTCCCTCTGAGGATGGATAAAGGTAGGGACTGCTGCAGTTTGGGGACCTTGTCTTGCTCTTCAGAGCTCTGTTTTGGAGGTCCTGGCTGCTCCATGAGGACACTTGTCACTTGGGCAAGCAATGTTGCTAGAAGTCCACCACCTCCTGTTTTCTGGTGTGAATTTTTTAAATGCTTGTGAATTTATGGACCGTGACTAAAAGCAGCAGCACTCTGTCTTCATGCTGCCAGAGCARAGCATTGGGCTGTTAATCTCTTTAAAGGTATAGCAAGAACTAATCCAAGTGTCAGAAATCCATGTCCTGAAATGTCTGAGGACTTGGTGACATGCTTGTGTTTGAGCAGCYTTGAAAAAACAGGAATGTGGCATCTAATTCAGTGATACTGTGCTACTGAGTGAGAGCCAGTGCTTTGGAGTTAATCATCATTTTAACTGGAAATGGAGTTTCTTCATTTAATTTGTCACTGCTTGGATCTGTGCAGCTGTCATTTCCCCTCCCTCCCCCTTACATATAACATATATTTAAAAAAATCTTGGTTCCTAATTTTTTCTTATAATTTTTACTTCGTCTTTTATCAAAATGAGAAATTACCTGTTGGTAATTTCGCTCTCTGGGGAAAGCTAAGTATTGCTGATACATTTTTCTGGAGGAAAGGTCACCAGATAACATTTAAGGTTCAAAATCCTCTTTCCTGTGGAAGAACTTCCTTTTAACTGTCAAGGGGGGTTTTCAGTCTTTAAAGGGTGTTTAGGATATGGATCACAGCCTTAAACGCTGAGCCTCGGCCTGGAGTTAAAACTCCATCTCTCCTGAATTATCCATAAAAACTGTGGGGTTGTTCTGGCATAACAAGGACAGGGCTGGGAACAGAGAAAATCCCTGCTTTTCAGGTGCTGGGAAATTGTAGCAGTGAATCAAAAGCAATGGATGGCAYGGAAGAGATGGAGCTGTCTGCTGCWGACCAAGGACARGACATCATCATGTGCAGCCCCGAGAAGGATCCCAGCACAGACACAAACTTTGCTCAGTCTRGAGAGCCACAGATACATCAGACAGGTGCATCTCTTGGAGCTGCATTGGGTGGCATTGCTGGGAATTGTGGTTATTTGAAGGTTTTATGATAATCTAAATACTCTTTGCAGTCACTGTCAGTGTCAGCTTGGTTTGTGTGTGCTCTAAAAGGCTCCTTTAGCTGGTGTACATGAGCAAACAGCACCCCTGGATTGCTCTGTATGGCATCAGTGTGATATATGAAGCAGAAAGCTAATATAAAAGAAAATAAATACAATTTAAAGTTTAGATTTTTTATTTTTTTTGTAAATGCATAAAACAATAATGCTTTTTCAGTTTGGCAGCATCACACTAACTTTTTTTTTAAATTATATACTAATTTTTCAGATGTTTCATGCYGTGATTTGACACCCATTGACAGAAATCCTTTTGATATGGTAAGTTGACCTTCAAGTTTATTTGACTAAGACAAGCTGCATGTTGCAGGACTGTTAACCTTTGCTGCAGACTCRGTTGCTGCACAAAGAAAATTAAACTCTTAAAGATGTTATCGAGCCAATTCATGTAGCTTTAAATACAAACCACGTTCCAGCTGTCTCCCTGCCTGGGCTCACACTGATATTCCTTATTGCACATAATGAGTGTAGGATGAATCAATCATGTGTAACAGGACAATGTCTGATTCTTGTCAGATTGAGCCTTGAAATTGTGTTTCTTACAAATTTCCTTGGAGATACTCACTAACATAGCCTGGTTTCCCTCCACTTTCTTCCTGGAATTTTTTAAGTCTAGCCCAACTATTTTTTTAATCACGTCAATGTTTAGGGTTGGAAGTAACATTTAGCAGGAAAAAAAGGAGGTGTGCTAAAGCTTTCATGCTGTTAATAGAATTTGTGTGTAGGATTTCTTGTGAAAAATCCTCTTTAAAATACAGATTACTGACTTGAGAAAGGAGTGTCTGTCTTCAACACGGACCACATGTAATCACTTCGTATTTTGTGCCTGGAAATAAGTTACTCTTGGGAAAATCAGAGTCCTTCCAGTGCTGCATGGTGTGTTCCAAACACTGACCCCAACTCTGCCTCCTCCCACAGCCAATGCTGGATGCTGAGCTTCCCTTCACTCCACTCAAGACCAAAGCCCAGAAGTTTGCAGCAGCTGAAGTATTCAGTGACCTCATCATGTTTTCTCCAGTTGGTCCCTCTGGGGACAAATGAAAAGTGACTTAMAATGCAAAATATGTAAATTGTATGAACAAGAAGCCCACAGAGGGTATCTGGAACACAGTCTGCTACCCTGGAACTGTGTTGAGAGAGGAAGACTACGTGTGGTAGTGGCTCTGATAATGGGTTTTGTATCATTTTATGGTGCAGTTGTGGTGCACCAAGCTTTGCTGTATATCTGTAGTAGGCTGTGTTCTGGTGATCCCTGCTGTATCCTCTGACTGTAAATTCTGACTGCAATATTTTTATGTTGGTGTCATTTCATGTCTTTCCTGTCTCCTTCCAGTTGTAAAACTGTTCACTTTTAAACTTTCCTTCCCTGACCTGACTGACCTCATGACTTATCTTTACTACAAGTGCCTACCCCAGGAGTTGTGCCTGTGCCCTGTTTGTGCTGGGAGGGCATCTCCTGGGGTGAGACCCAGCCTGTTTTCTGTCTAGAACACTGCTGTGCTCTGTCCCTGCTCTGGGGGTGCCTCTGCACCCTTGGGCTGCAGTGTTGGGTGTGTTAGCACCAGCTATGGCAGTGTTGCATGCATGCAGTTCTTTCCTGGGGAAATCTTCCTGGTGTTTAACAACCATTGGCTTTGTAATATTAGAAACTAACTCAGAACAAGGATTTCTAAGTCAGATAACAGTTTTCTTGGCAATGTATTAAAATAGGCATTTACTATTTCCCTTAAGGATGCAGTTTTCTATTGAGTATCTTAAGGAGCTTTAAGTCAAGCCATATTTCCTCCTTGTTTTTGACACGTTTAAGCTCAGCCTCTTCTCTCATCTTGTTCTTTGTGCATCCCCCTCCAGACTGTAACATATTTGTGCATAAGGAGCATGCCAGTTCTATAGAGGAGTAGTATTGTAGTACCACCAGTTGTATTTTTAACAGATACCTCACTGGGCTTCTTCCTGTACTAGTGACCTTAGTGTATCACACACATCCTTCCACCAGCCTTGATCCTAAACCAAGCAGAGAATTTAATCCCTCTGTAGAAATTGTTGCTGCCACTCCCAGTGGGGCTCATCTGCCTTCAGTTTTAACCTGGAAGCTGTGTACTGATTACACTGAAATAAAGAGAGGAAGCTGATGTGTGCTGGAATCCACTTTCTTCATTACTAAACTCCAGTTCAGGGATCCTTTCAGATACCTCTTAATGACTTTCCCACTGTGGTCACTCATCAGCACAGAATGGTTTGGGACAAAGCTCAAAGCCCATCCCATTTCCACCCCTGCCATGGCAGGGACACCTTCCACTGTCCAAGGTTGCTCCAAGCCCTGTCCAGCCTGGCCTTGGACMCTTCCAGGGGCAGCCACAGCTTCTCCGTGCTGCTGGTAGCTGTGTGCTGCTCTAAATTGCTGCATCTGCTGGAAATTTTAAGAACTCTGCTTGTAACTTGGCACTGGAAGTATTAAAGGAGTCACTGTTATAAAACAGCCTGAGACACGTCAGAGAATCTTTGGGAACTTCAGTGGTGGCTGTTGCACTGTTCTTGTTTTCCAGACAAGACTGCAGTGACTCACAGTGAAAGAAAAATACTTCTGTTTTCTTTTTTTACCAGCCTGACTCACGGGGTGAACTTGCCAATAAATGTCCCCACCCTTGAAAGTGATGTTGACTCACACAGGGGTGATGAGTGGGGAGAAGCACAAGGCTTGTGATCTGTTCATGGGGAGTACCTAATGCTCGTAGGGATGGGATCTCCCTGGGGAGGGAGGGGTACTTGGGACACATTGGGCAGAAATGAAGGACAGGGATGATTTTCCAGCCCCACCGAGCAGAGATTTTGCTTTTTCCAGCTCTGAACCTCTCCTGCAATACCTTGTCCTGGTTTGGAAGCTGTCAGGTTTTCCCTGTGCTTTCTAGAGGATTGCTGCCCTTGCTCACAGGGTCAGGGGCTGAATGCTGCAGGCTCCTTTCCCAAACTGTTCCGTGTTTCTGTCTCTACAGGAACAATTCAGCTCCTTCCACATCAGAACTCAGCTTGCCCAGAGGGAACTGTCTCTTTTGAGTTACTATTAAAACCAAATTTTACGAGTAAAAATGTTTTATTACACCTCGCAGTGGTGTTGAGAGAAGGCACTTTTTATGGTGCAAACAAAAGAGCACAAAGTTTGGCCAGAGTTCCCCCCAGTTATATCATGGTGGGCAGGACACTGGTGAGGGTGATGTCCCCCCCGATGCAGAGCTTGGTGACCTCGTTCAGCCTCTTCTCACGAAAATTGTACTGCAGCAAGTGAGCATCATTCACAGCCACCTTGAAGTGATCCGTCTCACAAAGGATCTGGAGCTGAAATAAAAACCCCAAATCAGCCCAAAAACCCCACTGAATTTGTTCTAGAAGAAGTTTGAAGCCACAAGCTCGAGCTGGAGGCTGCTGCCAGCAGAGTCCAGCCCTGGGGCATGTGGAGGAGCTGGAGCAGCAACTCTGCTGCAACACCAGTGACCTTTGCCTTCCCAAAACTCTCCCTCCTCCGTGTTCTAGCCCAGTTTCTCCCTCCTCGTGCCCATGCCAGTCACTCCAAGCAGGACTCCACAGTGTCAACCTCCTTTGCAGGGAAAAAAACCCACGTGAAGAGCTGCCAGCAGGGAAAACACGTTAGAGAAACCAGTCCAACCACTGCTGCAGAGCAAGTGTAAATAAGGAGGGTTTCATAACCCATGAGGAGAGCAGAAGGGGGAGAAGTTATGCCCTGGGCAGCTGGAGCTGCAGGAGGGGGATCAGAAAAGCTGGGAAGGTGCTGCTGTAGGGACAGCCAGGGAAGCACACAGGGTGACTGCCCCAGAAACACCGTGGAGCTGATTCCTGTGCTAAAGCATCAACATCTTCACAAGGTCTTGTTGCCCAAACCCTCCTGGTGCCCAGACTCTCCTCATGCCCTGAAACCGAGCTGGGATGGGTTTTTCTGGTACCTTGAAGGGTTTTCCAGCTTCAAATGGAAACCTGGGAGCTGTCCTCTCCTCCTTTCCCCAGTTGTTCTGGAACATGGAATTGCAGACAATGACTTTCTTGTTGTCTTCGTTGAAGCGGGGGTTGAAGTGGAAGGCAACGTCATTCCCTCTCTTGAAATCCAGTGAAAACCTGCAAAAATAATAACAGATTTGCTGCTTTTGCCACAAAAGCCCTGGATTTTGTTACAAGGCTTCCCAAAACGGAAGGAAACCCCACAGAACCCTTTGGGCAGCAACAGGGCATTTACACATTTATTTGGTGTAATATTTGATGTTACACCAGGCAGGGCTATTCAGGAACAGAAATTCCAGCCCCCCTGCTCCAACCAGCATGGAAACCCCCCACCCTCAGAGCTGGACACCCCCAGTACCTGTTGGGGTTGGGGTTCACGGTCCCAGTGATGGTGATGAGCAGCCGAGGGACGAGTCCTGCCTGCAGGGGCAGCTCGAAGGGGACTTTCTGAGAAACAACAGGGAGTTGGTGTCAACGGAAAAACCATGTCATGGGGACAGCCAGGCCCCTCCCGTAGCCACGCAAAACCAGGCAGTGAAGAAACAGAAACCCTGATAATGATGGAGCCATTACCATTGGAGGAGTTGGTCCTCCCTGAGTCGGAGCTGGCCCTCCCTGCGGAGGAGCTGGCCCTCCCTGCGGAGGAGTTGGCCCTCCCTGCGGAGGAGTTGGCCCTCCCTGCGGGGCAGAAGGCCCAGATCCAGGGCCACTGGGTGGTTGTCCCGGAGCAGGATTTGGCCCCGTTGCTGCTGGTGCTCCAGGGAATGCTCCGGGTGCTCCTGGATACGCTCCTGGTGCTCCGGGGTATGCTCCTGGTGCTCCGGGATACGCTCCGGGTACTGCAGGGTACGCTCCTGCTGCTCCAGGGTATGCTCCTGGTGCTCCAGGGTAGGCTCCTGGTGCCCCAGGGTAGGCTCCTGGTGCCCCAGGATAGGCTCCTGGTGCCCCGGGATACCCCGGGAATGCCCCAGGAGCTCCGGGCTGGTTCCCCCAGGAGGGCCAGCCCTGCGCTGGGGGCGCACACGGGGTGGGGTTGTTGCTGTTGGCCAAGGCGTCCGATAACTGCGGGCAGAGAGGACAAGGGTAAGGTGGGGGAAATTCCTGCTGGGATGGAATTCCCCAACATCCACCCTCTGAGCTCAACCCTCAGCTGCTCCCCAGGTTTTTCCAGAGAACCACTGAGTGCTGACAGAACTGGAGGGGATTTGGGGGTTTAGCAAGGATGTGTTCCCTCCCACCCCTGCCAAAGATCTCTGCTGCAAAGCCACAGCCCCCAGAGGTTTTTAAAGACACCCATACTTACGGAGAAAGCGTCTGACATTTTCCCTAAAACAAAAAGACAAATGAAATTTCAGTAATTTTTAACCTGCACCATCCAAACCCCAGAGATTTTTTGAGGGGAGTTTCAGTTTAGGGTGGCAATCGATGGAAATTGCTGAGTTCCCATCACGTACCTGCCCAGCAGAGCCGACAGCTCAGGTGCCACAGAACAAATCCTGCTCCAAACCTGTGGGATAAACGGGGTCACTGCTGTGAGCAGCCTGGATGCTCCGGGGTGAATCCAGCCCAGACACCCCCTGGATGAAATCCACCACTGAGTTTACAACACTCCCAGCCGTTATTCACTTCCTCAGCCCTGTGGCACCATCCCGGAAAGGATTTCCATTAAAAAAAAAAAAAACCTAAAAGAATCCCTGGGGGTGCAGGCACAGCATCACCCAGGAGCTGAGTGGGAGCCACAAACCCAGCACAGCCCACTGGCGACAGGCAGCCACCCGTGCAGGTCTGGAATGGGGACAGGAGAGTGGCAGCCATGGATATGGGTCCCTTTTTTCCTGCCATGCCTCCACAGCTGTCCCATTCCAGCCACAGGGCACGTGGGAGGGACACAGTGGCTCCGGGCCACTGGATAAAAGCTGCTTTACGAGTTTTAGGAATCCACAGCCTGGTCGAACACACACCTGCCTGTGCCCAGGAATAGCCAGAGCTGGGTTCCTCCCATCAAAGGGAGCATTCACCAGAGAAAAGGGAGGGGAAAAAAAAAAAGAGACGCAGAAATGGGGAAAGAAAAGGAAAATTCCAACTTGAAAAGAAGAGAAGACAAATTCTCTTTGAAAGTAAAATTCGAATGCACAAAGCTCACAGGAGGTGTGGCTGCCCTGCCTCAGGAATAACAAACCCCCAAGTTTCACAACCAACAAATAACTCCTCTCCCCATAAAACACTCATTCCCCTGAGCTCACGTGGTTTTTAAGGCAGTCTTTCCAGCAGCATAAGAGTGTTTGAACAGCCCACATCTCCCAAAGCTTTTATTTGCCTTCTGGGCTCTTTTTAAACCCTTGGGGTTTGGGACTCAGGGTGCACACACGGCTCCTGCAAGGCCAGGTTTGCTCCATGGTTGCCAATGGCTTGTGCTGGTCCAGCAGGATGTCCTACATGATCCCCCTGTTCCCCTGAACACCTCAGGGAGCAGTTTGGGGACAGTGGGACAGCCTGGCCAGAGTCTCCTGTTTCCCAGATGAGTCTGGCATGGCCAGTTTGGTGTTTGTCACCAAAATCTCCAAAAATCACCGATCCTCTGCCATCTCTGTAGCCAGACTTGGAGCCCAGTGTCACCTTCTGTGTGTCCCTGCAGTGCTGGAGCTCTCTGGGAATGCTGCTTGGGGTTATTTGCCAGCTGCCATGGGAAGGAGTTTGCTCCCACCTTCTCTGGCTGTGCCCCAGCCCCAGCGATTGCAGAGAATCCCAGAATCACCGAGGCTGGAAAAGATCTCCAAGATCATCGAGTCCAACCATTCCCCCTGCACTGCCAAGGCCACCACTGACCCATGTCCCCAAAAGCCACATGAACATGGCTTTTAAATCCCCGCAGGGATGGCGATCCAGCACTGCCCTGAGCAGCTGTGCCAGGGCTGGACAAACTTTCAGAGAGAAATTTTTTCCCAATATTCAAACTAAACCTTTCCTGGTGCAAACTGTGGGCGTTTCCCTTGTCCTGTCCCTGTTCCCTGGGAGCAGAGCCCGACTCCCCCGGCTGCCCCCTCCTGTCAGGGAGTTTTGCAGAGTGAGAAGGTTCTCTCTGATCCCCCTTTTCTCCAGGCTGAGCCCCTTTTCAGCTCCCTCAGCCGCTCCTCATGGAATACTCGGGCTCTGATTTTCAGCAGCGTTGAGAACTCAAACTCCACTGAGCTCTACC